CAGACTGATGACATTCAGTACTTTCTCTCTATTGGGGCTGTTGTAGTATTCAACAAAGTCCCCCAACCGCATCTTCATGTCACATTGGCGAGAAACATCAATCACATCAATCTGTCTGTCTGAACCTGAATGAGAACAAAATGAAAAAGGTTAAAAATAATTAGCTTACACATATTAGCCTGAACATGTTTACATTAATCAGTATGTATTTAGTAGGGATGCTCCGATCGATCGGTCACCGATCGAGATCGGCCGATACTCACTCTCTACCGATCGATCGGTGCTCTCTAAACATGCCGATCGCGAGAGCCGATCGCATGACGTAAAATACATGACACTTTTCTCTGTGTGCGGCAAAACAAGCTCGCCAAAATGGCTTCACCGGTCTGGCATTATTTTAAGGTGTCCGAAAAAGACAGTAAAATAGCGGTATGCAACGTCTGTGTGAAGCAGAAATCCTGCAGCTCCACCCGCCGGACCGGTAAGCGGAACGAAACACACAAGAGTTAGACCTAACACACTTAGCTATTTTATCTACCTCTGGAACAAGCTAAACTAGTTATTATAAATATATTTATTCTTCACTGTCGAGAGAGAGAGAGAGAGAGAGAGAGAGAGAGAGAGAGAGAGAGAGAGAGAGAGAGAGAGGTAATTAAAATAGCTACGTGTGATATTCTAACCTGAAGTGTGTGTTTTGTCCGCTCACCTCTGCATGTGATCATGCAGAGCTGCGTGTCGACTCGTCAGCAGCAGCTGATCTCTCTCTCCCGTCAGATTAGACTTCACTCGCGTTTATGTCCATATCGATCAGATCCAGCTAGTTCTAGCTAATGATAGGACTACCTTCTTATTAAAAGACACCTAAACAATAAGTGTCGCTATGCAACTGGGTGAGGCCGCAAAGTATAGCGCAGCATTATGCATTTGTTTACATGCCCACCGGAACCCCGAGGCATTACCAACAGATCAACGCACAATCAACCCATCCAGGACATCTCTTTCTCCACATTAAGTGTTAGACATTAGAATTGACTATTCTTGTCTGTCACATAAGTGGCGCAACTGAAGCGGTATTGCGCTAAAGGGAAATTATTTTGACCGGACACTTTGACCGGAGAGATTTAGATTTGCCGGCTAGGGAACTCTGACGTCGCCATTTTGTGTGCTTCGCGGATGCGCTCGGCTCCTCTCGACTGCTGCTCGGTCAGCTTCCGGATGAGGAGGCATTCGTTCGACCAACTTACAGTAGATAACATTACAAACATTTTTAACAGGGGCCATAATAGTGTAAATAATCTTTGTTTTGGCAGTTATAACTGAATGTAATGTGTTCTACTTTTTTACATCTGGGAAGGCATTTGCCTTCATCAGATGGAAAGTGTCTTGACCAACAACTTAAGTATTTCTTATAGCTATGCAGGGCATGCAAGCGAGCAAACACAAACAAGAACAAACAAACAAGTTAAATGAAGAATAAAATTGAAACATATAATATTGTGGTGGTTCATCTTATAATTCAGTCGAGAGAATGCACCAGACAGCATCTAAGACCTGCAAACATCTACATTTTCTAGGGGAGGCCCCCCAAACCCTTCGTGCGTCATTTCGTCCGTGCGCATTTTTCAGGGCAATCTCTATTGGGCTCAGGGCCATCTGTAAATTAGCTTAGATGGCCCACAGGGCCATCTCCCAAAATCCTTAATGTCATGCACTGGAGGGGGAGAGAGGGGGGAGAGAGAGGGAGAGAGGAAGAGAGGAAAAGAGAGCGCTTCCGCTCATTTCTCCCGTGTTATTATCCAAAGTGAATGTAAACTTGAATAATGTACATCATTTGAATGTAATAATTAAGTTGATTGTTGTTTGTGGAAGCTCCAGTGAATGAGCCCCATTAACTGAGTTTAAACATCACTTTAAATGGAAGATTTAAAGTGATGTTTAAATCTTCCATTTAGGCCCCGCCCACTCGATCGGATCGGCATTGGCCGATACTGATTCCGGCGATCGGCCCCGAAATTGGCGATCGGAGCATCCCTAGTATTTAGTAATAAAAACTATACCAATGTACTGCTCTACATCGCTGACGCCAAATGATGCCGGAGGAAGGGTCATGCCTAGGCCATCCCGCCTCAGCACCATGACAGGAACGCTGAATGAATGCTCTTCCAGAAACTCGACTGTCAGCTGGGCCCCCGACGGCTTGAGCAAAACATCATCCGCACTGTCATAGAAACACAAATAGACATTTGCAAACATTTTAGTAACAGTTTAAAAGAGAAGGCTTTTCAATTATGTTACAAAGAAGACCAAGGCTCTCCAACCAAAAATAATTAGATAGAAAACTATCTTAGGTGTTTTCTTTGATCGGAATCCTGGTTTTTATCTATAAAAACGTATAAATAACAAACTTTAGCCTTTGAAGGGGACTTACCCTGGGAAGGTGCGGCTCCGTAACTCCCTAACAAACTGTGGGCTGCCTGTCTTAACAGGCCGACTTGGATCCCTTGCTGCAGCGCCACCATCTGTCTGCTTGTTGCCTCCACGGCGTTTGCGCACTGAGCAAAGGAGAGATAAGAGAACAAAAACAATATTTTATAAAAGCAAACCAATAAGGTCATTACAAATAAAGAAAAGTGAACTCAAACATGTTTGTTTACTTACTGACAGACGGCCCATGGGTGACCTGACAGTTGGGGCAGTGATACAGGTCAATCTCAGCTGCTTTGTCCTCCTCTACTCCAACACAACTACACAGAAAACATTCTTATATCAGATACAGAACACTGGAAAGGATAGCTGAATGAACTTTGGTGTGTGGAATATAGAATATAACTACAGGGATTAAGCAATTTAGACAACAGATGTAACTACAACATAAATCACACATATTTGGATTTCATGCACACAGACATCAATACGATCAACAGTGTTTAATCTGAAAATGGCCCACCTTCCGTGGAACCAGTCTTGACAAATGTCACACTCGATCATGAAGCGTGTCACATCATAAGGCAGGCGACACAAGCAGTACAGTGGCACCGATGCCATATTGAGTGAGAGGGAATCAGCTTTCTACTATTATTAAAGTTACGTTGTAAAAATATTATGCAGGTGGGATGATATATTTATAAAATAAATGAGATTTTAAATTATGCAAAAAATATGATGTTTCTGTAACTCTACTTCCAAAGTGATGTTACTGGTACACATGTCCACCGTGATTCTCTTGGAAACCTGTTGAAATATAACAGAAAGAAGATAGCGTATTAATAGCTTGAAGACGGGACAATAAAACAACTACATTGCGATATAATTTGTAAAAATGGGACTGCTGAGAAACATATAAACTGCTCCTGCATGGAGACGCAAGCTATGTCAAATATCGTTAGCAGGGTAACAAAACTAACACTAAGGTTAGTCGTTTTGGTAGCATAACATTCATTTTAAGATTATCCAGCTTTTACAATACAGACTAGGACTACCTTCTTATTTACGGTCCATATTTTGCTTCTGCTAACATGTTGTTAACATTAGCCAACGGGCAGGCCGTAACGTTAGTGCACTGTTTGTAAACACGCTATGCCCCTCGAAAGTTGTACTGCTATCATAACACTAACGTGTTTAGCCAGTAAGCTAATATTAGCTATATGAGCTAACGATGAAGCTAACATAAGCGTTTGCAAAGATGTTAACTTTAACTCACACAAGAAAACAGTTAGTGCAATATATATTTGACATTTTGAAGAAACGATACGTGCACTTAACACCGCAAATTCATTCAAACAAACAAAATACATAGTTTGCAATCTTAATTGATGTTTAAGGCTAGCAACTCACCAGAATCTAGCTGCGGCGGGCCGAGCATCCGAAAGCCGTTGTAATCCCTACGCAAGGTCGGGGGTCGATCCGGCCTTATTATGCAACGTCAATTATAAACAATTTGCTTATCCACATATTTTTTTATTCAATTCGTAATGCACTAATATAGAGTTCAGGTCCAGAAATGTAAACTGGACCGGAAAACTACAACCTGAAGCGACAAGAACGAGCACAATAACTACAAATAGCGGCGTATTGAACTACATCAACGCCATTTCAAAGGCTGCAGCGTCAGACGGTCGCTGTCTGCTTTAAAAAGAACAATAAAGTTGCAGAGTCAAATGTGGGGTTGCGTTCAGGGAGAAAAACGTTGCGGAACGTTTGTGCGGCAACACATTTGCAGAGTAATGCAGAAAAACCGTAGCCTGCAAACATAGCCTAATGTGCGTAATGTTTATTCAAAGAATACATCCCGGTAAATGCTCAATTAATACACACGACTAAATGAAAAGGTTCAAATCAATCACAAATCAGGTAACGCCTACATTAATACATTTTCCTTTTATTTCACATTATTTTGGGCTAGTCAGCAGTTATTTTACGGACACTTTAAAGGTGTCAATCTACTTGTGATTGTCAACATATAGGAAAGGCTAATACAATAATTTGTTGTAGTCTTATTCTGCAAACAAAATTAACCTAATATTTGCTATGTTAACATGGTTGTAATACATTTTTTGGTATGGAATTTGGTTGCATGTTACATAATGTAGATTGGTACACCTCGATTTTAGGAAAAATGATAGAAAATCTTTGTAGAAATCATTAGAACTAATTTAATTCAACTTATATTATGCACCTTTAACCTCATTTTTTGATAATGTAATAAATATATATATTTTTTAATTCATTAACGCATTTCCAAATCAGTAAAGATGGGTCCTTGTGTTTTTACCTGTGTAATTTTACCATGTGCATTTAACTGTGCATAACATTTACCATGAATACATAGTGTTTTCAGATTTTTTAAATGTATGTAATGTAAAGTTACTCCGTTGGACCTTGATGGCGGTCTTCTGATGAAGCCTGATGTGCCACATTTACCCTACACAAAAAGTTGTTGTTTTTAGGAGGACTCTGCTTCATAAGATTATGGCATTTGCACAATCAACACAATGTTGTGGTTTGATGTTTAACATCATTTATTTTGATTAGTTACAAAACATAAATAAAATCAACAGTAGAATTAGTTACAATTTACAGAGGCTAAATCACCAGCAACATACTTAATTTTTTCAGGTTTCACTGCCCAAATGTCCTTTTATCATTGGTTCCCAGTCATGTCATTTTGGGACTCCCCAGATTTTCGTTGCAATTATTTGTAAGTTAATTCAATATGAACTGCAGCTTAGCAGGAACATCTATGCAAGTATGTTATGTATCTAACAGGTTGGTGGTCCATGTTTTATAACTGAAATTACATCAAAAAAATGACCAAAGATTCTCTGAAGACAATCTTGAACTCAGAGGTATATCGATGCAGGGGAGTCCCATGTAAACATAGATGAAAACCAGTGTTTTTTTCTAGTTTCAAATAACCTTATATTTATAATGATGAGAACACAATTTTACAATTTGTACAACCCCATTTCAAAATACAAAAATAATCTTTATCTTTTAGATAACATTTTGGTAACACTTCAAGGACAAAGTCAGCTCTACATCATGAATCATGATCATTAAGCTGTAGCTTGCAGCCAACATGTTAGTATCAGACATGACAGCACATTATCTCCCCTTCACTAAGAATAAACTATATCTCTGTGACAGTTTGGGATGTCTTGAAAATCAATATATTCTAGTGTATGCAGTTTCTGAACAACCATACCATTTAGCACAAGCTACTCCTTCTTAACCATTTATGTTTTATTATCTTTGACTCACTTCAGCAATCTTTAACAACCGGTAAGATCTCCTGTTTTCATTGACACGCAATATTTCGATAATTATTAAAACAGAAATGTTGCTTTGACTACAGGCTACTAATTATACCCAAACGTGTATTATTTCCAGACCATTCAAGGTCAAATGCTTGTATGGAGCACTGATAACCCAATAAAATGTACAGTAATATATTAACTGCTGATATATTACTCTGTATCTCTACATCTACAAATAAAGGGTGCAGAAATAGAGGAATGGGACATTTTTTGACCTTTTGCAGTGTGCGTAAAAAAGCACAATTATGGCCCACAGTTCAGCTTCTGAATGATACATTCACACTGACAGAATTGATTTAAGCCTCAATTGTTTACAACTGAAACAAGGAATTTATCCGACGCCAAACAAAATAACAAAATATGCAAGTGAGGATGTGACAACGATGTTGGACATCAAGCTTGCGACCGGTATTTGGTCTAACCTTTCACTTGTTTTGTTAAAAGCCCAAAGCATAGGCATAGTAAACATTTTTAGTTGGGTACAGTGACATTTGAGGGGCTACTTTCAATGAAAAGAAACAGGGATGAAATTCATAATGCAATATATACCAAAGGACTTTCACCAAGCTTTGTCACAAAGAAATAATATACACTCACACACCCACAAAAAAAAATGCAGTAATTTTAAAAGGCAATGTGGGAATAACACATGGTCTCCCCGGTCTATAATAACTTGGCAGTTTAATCTTTCTCCTCAGCATGACACCGTGATATACTTTGATATGAGCTCTAACCGAAAGCAAAAATGTCAAATAGGAAAGCAAATGTACTTGCTTGTATGATCACAGTAAGCTGCAAATGGTAGCTTCACGAATATAAAGCAAGTGCACGCACTTTGCATTCTGGCAAGTCATGTTAGTCATAAGGTCATGCAGTCTTGGGCTGAGTGTACCCAGGTCTCCACTGAACATACATGGCATACTTCATTACAAATGTATCACATCACTCATAGTAAGTTAGAGTGTTTCTATGGTACAACTGCTGAACATTAAATAATACAAATGAAGCACATGCTGTACCTTTGAACAACACTGCAACAGTATATTGGTAGCACTATGGTAACGATGGTAGCCAGATAACTTTACCATGCTTTACGGTATAACATGCTATTCGTTTTATTTTGTTGCCCAATTGAATCACCTTGTGCTGTAGGTCCGCAGTTTTATGTAATAATCATGAGAAGATCCTATCTGCATCCGGTTTTCATCATGTGCTTCTACAAAAATATGTTATGCCTTACAGAAAAATGCATACAATACATGCTGATCAATTTAGATGACCATTACTAATTGCACTTTTAAGATTGATAGTCCTTTCACTGTAAGCAAAGACAAATTAAAACACAGTGTCAAATATGTTCTACCTCTGCTTAGGAAGAGTTCAACTGAGTTGGTTTTAAAACAAACATGAATGTTAATTTGTGTAAAAGGACATAAGGGATATGTACTTGGATAATCCATAAACACTCAACCACACTCATAAAACGCACACACTCATACATTTAAGAATGTATACATCTCAACACCCAAACATACCATGATTCATAAACACAGCTGTTGTGTTCCATGTTGCCCTCTGTCTGTACATGCTATAATCTATCACGTCTCACATTCACGCCCCATCTCATCCGGAAGTACACTGGAATCCATATAATCATTGCAGTCACTATTCTCTCATACACAGCCACAACTAACAATTCAAATAGATCTGCTTTACATCCTGATCCACGTCACGTTTCCATCTCTTGCACCTTCATATTGACCTCACACTGGTTTCATTTCTGTCCCAGAGGAAGAGTAGAGGTTGGGGGTGTTGGGTGCATTTTGGCACTGGAAGGTAGAGCAGCAGTAGAGCAAGAGGAGGAAGAGGTTGAGGAGGGTGAGGAATAGGAGCATAATTTCTCCCCAGTAGCAGTAGTGCTATCTGCTGGTGCAGCGGAGCCACTGCCAGGCAGTGGGGGTGCAGCCGTGGACACTGGAGATGTGGGCATTTGGGAAGGCAGCAGCGGTTGGCTTTGAGGTGTAGATTGGGGCAGCTGGGTGATGGGCTGTGTCTGTGGTAGAGACTGGGACTGTGTGGGAGTTTGCATCCCGGGCTGCTGGCAGAGTGTAGACTGCTGATAGGTCGCTTGCTGTAGGGGGAGGGACTGATGGAGGTGTAAACTTTGTTGCATCGGTAACACTGTGGCCATGTGCGATTGTGGTGATGGTCCCAGAGAGTGCAAGGTGGAGAGGCTTCCTCCAGCGGTGTAGTGAGGAGGGGTTGCCCCGGGCAGGCCGGCAGGGGTCGGGGATGCCTGGGGATTCAGCTGTGTCACTGGAAACCAACCAGGGGGAGCCCCCTGTATGGAAAATAATTCACAGTACAATCATGATATCCATAAAACAATCCCAAACAAATATTTGTTCTATAGTGAGTATTCCTACCTCTGTCGGGTTGCTCCAGCCTCCCAACTCCTGCACCTGCTGAATCTGTTTGATTTGATTAAGTGAAGGTTTGGGCTGGGCGGAGCCCACCGTCTCCTTCGTCCAATCATCAACAAGTTTGTGCAGTTCATCTGTGAATGTGCTTTTTCTAAGAGGGCTGTGATCTGTGGAAAAATGAGGGCATGTATCATAATTGTTCTGTTTAATTTCTGTGTTGTCTTGATTTGTCACTGAGAAACTGCACCTCGTTTGGCAGGCAGTGAAGTGCAGTGCTCTGTATTGCAGTAAAGGGGCAGCCTAGTCTGTTCACCACCTGAGAAACTACTTGACTGCTGAATCCCTAGACGGGAGATGTATAGAACAGTCACACAGAGATCAAGCAGTAACAGAAAAAAGAGAAAGCGGGAGAAACATCATCTATAAAAGTGTGTACCAGAGTGTGTGACTCCGTTGTTATCCATGTGAGAGTGAGGCCGCGGTCGGAGCTTGATTTTGGCTGGCCTGGGCCTACGAGGAGAGAGGACAGGGGGTCCCGAGGGAAGAGAAGGGATGCGGGACAGGGAGGCAGGCAGACTCTGCCTTTGGTCTTTGAGGGAACGAAGCTGTTGGTACAGCTCCTGCAGCTCTCTGTTCTGCTGGGACTGAAGGCACACCACCTCTTTGATGTGCCTGTAAAGAGACAAACAGAATAGGAATATAGTAAGAGTTTCAAGGTTTGAGAAAAGAACATGAACTGAAAATGCAAAACAAAAGAGTATTTAAGGGTAAAAACACTTATTATATAGACAAGAAACAACCATAAATGGAAATATAGCAAAATGGAGGTTAAGCTTTGCCCTCCATGACTTACTTCTCTCTGAGCGTGTGTAGTTCTTTTCTCAGGTCTTCATCCACCATCTCACACTCATTATCATCATCATCGTCATCGCTGCTGGCCAGGGGGGAGTGGCTGTGCCCATGACCTCGAGGCAGGTGAGCCATTGCTGGGGTCCTCTTATGCTCATCTCTCTCTCCCTCCTTGGCTCGAAATTTCCTCCTCTCCCTCTCCAGGTCGGGAGACACCGGGGAGCTGTCAGTGTTCCTTTCCGCCTTCCTGGTCTCGGCCTGGCTGACAGAGAAGCGTCCCACTTTCTTGTGCGTGCTCCCATGAGCTGACGGCGCAGCCTTCGGGGGAGAGGACTGGGGAACGGGTGTCACCTGATGGCAGAGGATGTGGGAGATATTAGCTTCCTGTCCGAGCTGCAATGAAGGTTCAGACTGATGAGTGGCAAAGATTAAATCTGTTCTGTTGCTCCTACCTGAAATCGTCCTTTGCTTGCATGAGGTGGATTTAGGGGTGGCGCCTCCTTCTCCTCTCTAAGTGCCTGACTGCTGGAACGTCCTTCTGATAAAGAGACAGGGATGAAAAACAAAAAATGGGAGACAAGGACCGACAGGGGCAAAACCACAGAGACACGGGTATGAAGAGAATGACGAGGAACGAACGCAACAAACACAGAAAAATGTACCCGACATGAGACATACAGATGCACACAGATAGACGTGGGACATGAACACAGAGGCACAGTGTTAAAAATCACCCTTCAGTGTCACACATCATTAACTCTGCGACTAACATGACTTGAATGCAGTTCTATGAAATGTGTAACATATGAGTTCTGTGAATGTCATTTGGTAAAATATAAACAAAAAACTGGATAATACATTTTTGTGGATGAAAGAAAATCAATCTTAAGAATGTGTAATGGGCGTGTGGGAAGGGGTGGTAAATGCTTGTGTCATTAAGAAAAATGATAGTAGGCATTTCATAAAAATAACACATAGTGAAATGGCATTTGAATGTTTACAACAGTTTAACCCCACCCACCCACACATCCACTCACTCATTCTCACTGACTCACCATATTCCCACTCATATATCAGACAACAGAGCCCAATATCACATTCCAGATCTGTGCTCTGTTCCAGTGATATTGTTCAGTGTGTTTGATATTTGGGATTACTACATGTGCAACGTGTAAACATGGATAATAACTGCATAATTTAAAATCAACATGTATATGTATGCAGCCTGATACAAATTAGGGGTCAACTGATTTGTTTTTTTCAGGGGCGAGACAAGGCTGATTATTCATCAAGGAGACCAATAACCTTGTTTTTGCAACTTCGGTTGTGATTGTGTTGTTGATTTCAACTACAGCAATATCTGCAGCATTGTATAAAACACTGATTTACTTGCAGCTTTAGTCTGCATTAGCTGAACCAGAGCCAATTTTTTTATTTAAAAATAACTATTCTTGTAAATGCTTGATATCCCAGATGATTATCGGTTGACCCCTTATTTTAGTGTTACTTACAGGCAACGGTCCATTATTAGTCAGCTGTGCGGAACATAACATGTGCTCATGCATGTGCACTCTTAGAAAAGGCGCTACGCTATTGCTTATCATATTAAACATATAAACAAAAACACATGCAGGACGGCTGAAATAATTGTCAGCGTGACAGCTGTTACAGCTGTGAGAAATGCCTACCCATGTACAAGATAACCTTATAAGCTCTGGGAAATGTGCACAATATAGCCTAGAAATAATAACTTTAATCTGCATATTTATACAGTTAATGCAAATGGAATCATGGTCTACTACTACAGTATATAGCATAGTCTCATGGAGACATGCTATACTGTAGGAGCTGACACAGAAGGCGACACATTTTCTAAATGTAAACTGATGACACAATATCAGTTTAGCAACTAAGCATCTTTCTTATATGTGTAATGAGGTGAGTTGCCCGGTGCTGTCTACACTGAGCCAGCAGGTGGAGGTGAGATGGTTGCTGCTGGCTGTGCTTGCAGACTCGTGGCAGAAATATGAAGGGAAATGTCACGGCAAAGGCACAGCTGGGCTTTACTCCAGAGCCAACCTCTTCCTACACTGTGCCAATCTTCCACCCTCCTCTACTCTCGTCTGTTCTCGCCCCAGGGTGAGCAACCCATGCAAAAGGAAAGATTGCCAAGAAAATAAAATTAAGCAAAAAGAATTTTAGAAAAGAAGGCAAACAAAACAATAATGCATGTAGTGATGTCAACACTAACATTACATGGATTGTCTATTGTCACATTAAAATATACAAAAACAGGATTATTTAGCTGTCAACATTAACATCCTTTAACATTAACAGTAATTAATTCCTGTTGGTTACAAAAGTTATTTTACTATGTTAAAACTAGTACTAGATATTAGATTTACGACCATGTCCCAACATCCCATTCTCTCTCTCTCTCGCTCCCTGAGAGGACGCTACCTTGCTGGACTCTGGGCTTCTTGAACAAGCTGGCGGAGTGGCGCAGTTTGCACGCCCAGTTTTTGAATTTGCGAGTCCAGGATTTCTTGCTAACAGGATTTCTGATACTAGGACATGTCAGGTTTAGGCCAAAATATCCACCTCCTGCATTGTGCTTCTGCTGTCCATGCCGGAGGGGGATCGGGTGCTGATTGGGGGGCCACGATGCGTCTCCAGTGGTACTGGTGTCAGAGTGTGGGCGTACAGCCTAGAACAGTTAAGACAATTAAGAGTGGCTGCATGGAGTTGAGACGTTCAAAACGGAGAGACACACAAACATGTCAAAACAACAAATGTAACAAACAGCTTTAGACAGCAATACACTGACATTTACTAAATAAAATAATGTACATTTAGTATAGCGAAGACAAATTTGATAGAGAATGTTCGCAAAATGTTTCACTCACAAGAATGGTTGGTTCTCCTGGTACGGGTGGACGCTGGCGCCCGACAGACTCATCCTGATTGGGAGGAAGGAGAGAGGCAGGCGGGGTGGAGGAGGCAGAGGTGGAGGGGAGAGATGGGCCAGGCTGGTGCTCCACTGGGCCTTTCTCTGCAAAATAAACTTCTGAGGAAGGTATTTCTCCTCTGCAACCCCTCTCTGGGTCAGGGGAGGTGGATGAGGAACGGGAGGTTGTAGAGGAGGTAGAAGAGGATGAGGAGTGAGGAGAAGTATTTGAGGAGGAGGCAGGTTGGGGGAAAGAGTAGTGGCGAGACAGTGGCTCAGATGACTCGTCTCCTCCTGCTGACATGGAGGCAGCTGATGTAGGTCCAGAGGCCGGCGCCGCCCCGCTGCTGTACTCCTGATACAACAAGTTCCTCAGCTTCTCATCCAGGGTCTTTATGCGGTTGTCCACAAATTCAATTTTGGGGGGGCCCTCACTGTCTGACTCAGCCACGGAGGAAGGCTGAGCGGGAGATGGTGTCATCCTGAGGGAGAGTGTGGGTACGGGTGCATCAGAGCTCAGATTGAGAGGCGGCAGAGAGGATTCAGAGGAAGGGGGGACATTCGTAAAGTAGCTGCATGTGTCTTCTGTGAAACTTGTCTCTCCTGTAGAAACCTCTGACTCTGACATCTGTAAAGAGGACTGCTTCGTCGGGGAAAACGGCTGCTGTTTCTGCGGTGTGTCCGTCGCTTTAACCGCTTCTTGTTGCTGTTCAGTGTGTTGCTGCTGTATATGCTGGTGTGACAACTCAGCAGGGATTTGTGTTTGTTGTGGAATCTGCTGTTGTGGTATCGGGCTAACATTTAGCTGGGCCTGTTGTTGAAGAAACTGTTGACTAATTGACACAGGCAGCATTTGGCTGTGATCTGGATTTGAAGCTACATAACCCATAAACATCTGCTGCTGTTGTTGCTGCTGTGCTGTGTTGTGCTGTTGCTGTTGCTGTTTGCTGTGCTGCTGCTGCTGCTGCACCATGTGCTGTTGCTGTAAGTGCATTGTCTTTTGTAGGTGTAGCTGCTGCTGTTGATCAATGGCAGCCTGCTGTTGAGGCAATGCAGCAGCTTGGGTTGCCACTACTTGCTGTTGTAGCGCAGGCTGTTGCATCACCTGTTGGGTATACTGAGGTGTTTGCTGTTGAGGAAGGGCTTGTTGGGTCTGCTGTGGGGGACTAGGTGGCAGAAACTGCTGCAGAGGCACAGACTGCTGCAACACCTGCACATCAGTCAGCTGTATTTGTTGCTGCATTAGTTGCTGATGTTGTAGCTGCTGGAGTGACTGCTGCATCTGCATTTGCTCTGGATACACTGGATGCTGCTGTTGCTGTGGTGCTGCCTGCTGTATCTGTTGTTCAAGCTGCATTGCCTGCAGTTGCTGTTGAACTACAGGAACCTGCTGCTGTAACGCAGGCTGTAGTTGTGCCTGTGGTTTTTGTGGGGATTGCTGAATGAGCGTTTGCTGATGCTCCATGCCAAGCAAGCTTACCGCAGAAGAGGTCACCGCTGCAGCAGGAGGAGGGGAGCTGAAAGCAGTTGAAGATTGGTCCGCTGCAGGGACACATGACCTTGTAGCAGTTAGCACTGTATCCCCCATACTCTGACCTGTGACAGTGGAGCAACCATTGCTTCCAGGAGAAGCAAGGACATCTTGGAGAATGGTTATGGGTGTGGGAGACATGACAGTAGGGGCAGTGGGGGGGTTTGCAGCAGGTATTACTATGGATGAGGGAACACTTGCAATTTGGTCAACAGAAGCTGAGGTTAGGATTGGCCGTTCAAAACCACCTGAAGCAGTAGCGGGGACAGAGGATTTAAGAGTGGAGGCTGGTGCTGAGATGCTTTCAGGGGCAGTGGGGTAAAGAGCCGGCGCAGCAGTGCTTGAGGGGGCAATGGAGGCAGGGGCAGAGGCAGTGGAGATAGGAGGGGAGGTGGCAGAAAGGGCGGGGCAGGGGGGAGAAGTCAGTCCGGTTATGGACTCCAGACTCTGGGATCCTTCACTTTCTACAGGCGCACATGAGAGGAACACATGGTTAGTTCTTGTTATGCTGTATGTCAGTCATGTAAATAGGCAGCATTACAATTAAACCCAGAGCTCACCTCTCTCTGTTTGAGGAGACAGAGGAGTCCTCATCTCTTCAGATGTAAGCGGTGTATCTGCTCCGGATAGAGAGTCTCTGTGGCGAATAGTCTGATTGATAAAGAAGCGCCAGCGTCCCACTGGGGAGGAATGGGGCACTGCCTCCACTGAAAAGCATAGATGTATTTTCCTAGTTAGAGCAATTTATAGAAGATACACATTTCTTTTATTTTCTAGTGCTACTTTTTTGTGACTAAAAAAGCATTTATTCATAACTCACTTGAAGAACTAGTCGGAGTGCTCACAAACAACTGGTCAGTTGATCCAGTCTATTGAAGAATAGAGATTATAAATAATTATTATTCAAAAACAGAAACATTACAGAGGAGAGAAGGTGTGAGATTCAAATATGGATATCAACATACCTGTGAATGTGTATGAAGAATTTCGTGAGCTTTCTTGACTGTGGCTCTAAGCTCCTCAACAAATGTCTCTTTCTCTACATCAAGAACAAAGTCCTCCTCTACCTACAGACACAATGCAATCAGACAGCATTAATAAAGACATACAATGAATATTTTTTAGAAGCAATGCATACGTTATAAATACATGAGCGGCCTACCATGTAATCTGCTATATCCTCTGCTGCATCCCCTTCGGTGTCAAATTTAAATGTTACCATCTTGTTGGTATGGGTTTCCAACTGGCATTCCACCATATTGTCCCCACTGCCTGACACCTGGGGAGGACATGATAAATCAACATTATAGAGGTTTAGTTTTCAAAACATTATAGTATACATAAATTCAGCACATATGCAAGGGGTTGCCTTTTTTTACCTGGAGCATGCTCAGTTGAAACTGATGTGAAACTTTCTCAGACTTCTGACCGGAAGCTCTTCCTTGCATCTTTAACTTATCTAACTTCCCATTGGCCATGAGCTGAAGGGTTTCCTCTCCATTAGCTGGAACAGACCTGTGTGTGGTAAGGTAAAAGGTTGGTTTACACATCATGATGCAAAATACCCTTAGCACATACCGTACATCTCTGAAAATATGTATATGTGATGCATATATTTATTATCAACATGATACATTTAAGCGTTTTATATCACACACAAACACATCCGGATGTATTATTCATGTTGACCACTACACTGTGGGTATGGTCAATAGGGGCTAACAATAAGAAATATGTAAAACTAACCTAATGCGATATTAATATTCTATCTAACTAGTCTAACCATTGGCATCCCCTATAACATACAAAATGTAAGAAAGGCTCAGGATACAAATACAGAACTATTTTGCCCCCAATGTGTTTACACTTTCAGAAGACTGATTGCACTTAATGTCTTGAGCCGTTTTCAGACTAAGGCATTTGAAAGTTCTCAGTATCAGCACTACTACAGTGTTTTATCTTGACGGATTGACATGTTGAATGATTTGATATGCAACAACTATTATGTAGAAATAGCACGATAAGAGACATACCCTGAAGAAGAATGATGTTCTGTAATAGACAGGTATGGCCCATCCTGTAGAGTAAAATGAAAACAAGCACAGGAGTATGCAGACACAAAGAAAAGAGAAATAACACGGTTAGCATATGAGATCCAAGTAAGGCTATAATGTAGTAATGAACATTTCATCTAATAACACATGCACGACTCTATAAATATACTTATGTTTAAAGATTAAACACTGGCTAGTTTCAAACCAAAAGTCAAAGTGTTTTCAAATAAGTAGTTAGTAGTACACTCAATCATTCTGCCAGTATGTCAGCAAAGTATAATTATTTGTAATCAACTCTCATTCTTCCTGTACCTGAGCAATGCCCAACAGGGTAAGGTCACAGTCTTGCAGCGAGGCTTGGGGCAGTTTGGGGGCATTAGAGTCAAGCGATTGTAGAGTAGTGACAGGCAGAGGGGAGGTGGGTATAAAGTCGGCCTGCCCTGGTAGGGTTATCTTGGCTGCTGGAGGAGATGTAGGCAGCTCTGGCAGAGGGGCAGCAGCAGGAGGGAGGGATGGCAGGAAAGGGAGAGATGGTAGTGATGTTGGGGGATATGAGGTATGAGAGGGGTTGAGGGGCGTTTGTTGTGCAGTAAAGACAGCATGGGGTAGAACGGGCTGTTCAGCAATAGGTATCCCAGTGCGTGTTTGAGTGTGAGAATGAGCCTGTGTTTGAAGGTGCGTCTGTGTCTGGGAGTGGATTTGGGCCTGAAAGCTGGTTTGTGTGTGTGTGTGAGCTGGCAGCATCTGCTTGGCTTGGTGCTGCGGAGACGGGGGGGGCGCCTGCCACGAGATGACTGTAGATGGGCAGGGACTGGGGCTCTGCAACATTACAGGTGCCTGTCTGTGCAGAGAGATGGCTCACCAGATATGAAGCAGGTGGACCCTGTGGGGGCTGCAGACTCTCATCAAGGGGCATCCCAGCCTGTTTTATAGGAGAAGGTTGCTGGATGGGCGTTGGAATTGGCTGAGCCAGTAACTGAGCCTGTGGAGGAGGTGGAGCCAGTGGTTGCTGCGCTTGAGAAAGCTTATGTAGCTGTGTCTCGTATTGCACAGCAGACTGAGGCATGGGAGGCTGGGAGATGGACTGAAGGACTGAAGGGTCTCCTGGGAGCTGCTGCTGGGCCTGGACAGTATAGGCCTGTCCAATCTGTTGCACAGGATGAGGAGTGGTGACAAAGTTTGCAGGGTCAACTATGGAACTGTGACTTGTAGTACTTCCAACACTTCCAGCTGAGCTAGGAGACCGAATCATCTGTTGATATAGCAGTACTGGAACTTGTTGCTGCTGCTGCTGCTGCTGCTGCGTAATATGAGTTACATCCTGTTGTAAAGGTGGCACAGCTTGGTGGGTCGGCTGAGGGAAATACTGATGGGTCAAAAGGCCAGCAGTCGTGGCCTGTGCATGTGTCTGGCAAGGTGGCTGGCCTTGAGTCTGTTGCTGGAGCTGGGGCTGCATGAGCACAGGCATTTGAGCATTTTGCTGAACAAGAGTCTCATGCTGGATCTGACTGGGAATTGGAGCCATTACAGCTGGAGGCTGGATAGTAGCTTGGCTCTGTTGGCTCATCATCTGAATGTCCACAGTTGGCTGTTGGGACTGGATCACCTGGGTCTGTATGAGGGCGGCAGGTCCTGGGTAACTAGTGTGTAAAGGTATTTGCTGGGTCTGGATGACGTGATTCTGTCCCTGGATCAGTACTGCAGGAGCAGGTACTTGGGCGTCCATCATAGCCTGAGTGGCTTGTACTGTGGACTGGGTGATAAATTGGACTGGGACCTGGTTCTGGGGATGAGCCTCACTCTTTCCTTGCTGGGTAAGGACTTGAGCTGGGAAACCAGCAGGCGTCTGGACAGGGACGTGAGTAGTCTGAAGGGCCATGGGGACCTGGGCCATGGGGACAAGTTGAGCCTGGTGCTGGATTATCTCAGTGGCTGGAGCTCCAACTGAGGTATTAGCCTCCATTAATGCAGCGTGATGCTGAGGTTGGGCAACAAATGCTTGCTGCTGCTGCTGCTGGATCATTGCTGCTTGCTGTTGTGTGAGAGCAGAATGAGACGTAAACTGGGGTGCGTTTGGTTGTGGGACACACACGTGCTGCATATCGGTTGGATGCATCTGAATATGCTGCTCACTGTTGCTTTGAGGAATAGAGACAACTTCCGGTTGCTGAATGATGGCTGCTTGTTGCTGCTGCTCCTGAATCTGATGCTGTATCAGAGCCTTTTGATGTAATCTCTCCGCTTGTTGTTGTTGTAGCAAGAATTGTTGCTGACGCTGTTGCTCTAACTGTTGTTGCAACAGAGCTTGCTGCTGCTGCTCTATCTGCTGTTGGAGTTGCACTTGTTGCTGCTCATGTTGCCGTTGCTGAAGCTGAGCCTTCTGTTGTAGCTGTTGCTGTTGTAATATAGCCTGCTGTTGCAGATGCTGATGTATTAGTGCTTGTTGTTGTTGTTGTTCAATTTGTCGGAGTAAGGCTTGCTGCTGCAACTGTTCCTGTTGCTGTTGAGCCTGCTGTGGTTGCTGCTGCAATACGATTTGTTGCTGCTGTAGTCCACTTTGATGTTGCGTCTCTGGTTCCTTTTGTATTCCAGATTGGTTGTGTCCAATTTGTTGAAAACACCTGACTCTGTGGCTGCTGTAAAAGAGGTTGCTGTTGTTGTTGCTGCTCTAGCTGTTGTTGTTGCTGCTCTAGCTGTTGTTGTAAAAGTGTGTGTTGTGGTTGCTGTGGTTGAATAAGACCTTGCTGTTGCTGCTGCTCTAGCTGTTGTTGTAAAAGTGTTTGCTGTGGTTGCTGTTGTTGTATAAGACCTTGCTGTTGCTGCTGCTCTGTGTGCTGTTGAATAAGAGCTTGCTGCTGTTGTTGATCCAACAATTGCTTCTGAATAAGTGCTTGCTGCTGCTCCAGTTGATGTTGTTGTAGTTGGGCCTGCTGTTGCTGCTGCTGTTGAAGCAGTGCGTTTTGATGTTGCTGATCAAGCTGTTGTTGGACGTACGTCTGATGTTGCTCAAGCAGTAAAGCTTGTTGCTGATGAAGCAGAGTGTGCTGAAGCTGTTGTTGCATTTGGGGTTGACTCATTGTCTGTTCACGCAGATCCCCTGTTGGCTGCTGTTTGTAGGTCTGAGGTAGCTCCCCTTGCTGTGGTAATGACATCGCTCGCTGCTCCATACCTTGATGTGTAGGTAAAACCTGCTGCTGAGGAGCTGTGTTGACCGGCTGCTGTACATGTATCTGCTGCGGGGGTTCATGTTGACGTTGAACAGCCATAGCTGGAAGGCTCTGTGGATGATGATCCGTTTGTGGCTGCGGTGCACTAACTTGTTGTTGTGCGATCAGAGCGGCCTGGGCCTCCATTTGCTGAAGCGACTGGTGCTGCTGAAGGGCGGAGGTCTGGGGATCCATCGCTATCTGTTGTTGTTGGACAATAGTCTGCTGAGGGATCATGACAGGCTGCGTTTGCTGGGGTGCCGCATGGGGAATGATGTCAGTGAGCTGCATGGGAGTGGCAGAGGGTTGGGTCTGCTGAGCGAGGGGCACAACGGCCCCCCCTAGTCCAGCAGGATCATTGACTGACATGGATGTAGTGAGGGCATTATTGGGTGCTTGTGGGGAAACAGGAGGTATGTATGACTGTGAGGGGGCCAGTGTCCCATGGGGAGTGGCAGTTTGAAACGCATCTGATGGGAATGTTTGTGACTAATCAGTGATAATGACAGAATGATGATTGGTGTTGAAAGAAGAGGGAAAAGAGAGGGGTAGAAGAATTAGGTAAGAATAAGCTTTGGTAAGAAGCATCAATTATAAACAAAGTTAATTGTATTACAATTTGTTTTAACAGGGTTTCCCACAGTGTTTTATAGCACAAGTGGGCTGTAAATCACCTGAAATATAGACTTCACATCTAAAGTAAGAAGAGTTACAGAGCTTCTCTGGGGTATATAAAAACCTCCATGTGTTAATCTGTGCCCTGAGGTTTATAATCCAAGAGCATGCAACACTTAAGTACATCTTGCCCATGACACTTCAGAGCCTACATACATTTAAATAAATAATACAAATGTACTGCTAATGAAGGGTTGTTGTGAAATATACATTTATTTGCCTCTTTAAGAAAAATAAACATACCGTATTCAATTGATACCATAGTTAAATGCCTAGAAGTACTATAAATGTACTATTTGGTACTACTGATACGTTCTCTTTAGAGATATTATAGTGAAATAACAGCATATTAAATGCTACAGGGAACAGTAAGGTCATATTTAATGTATTGACGTAAATATTCAATGGATTACAATATGAGCACACAGATTGTCAATTTGAGGATTTACAGATAAACAAATCCATTATTTTCTACCATGTGACACCAGCGGGGCTCTGTAAAAAGTTAATACCAACACCGAAGTAAAGCATTAAACCTTGGGTGAAAAGAAGAGAGGCAATATTTTATACAACCAGATGTAAGAGTATATTTAATTAAATAAAGTATTAGTACATTACACCTTTCCCCTACTGCTAACTAATCTCCTGGGGGAAACCCTACAGCAAACAGTCAAATGGGCAATCTCAGATGATTATTTTGTGTGTGGCTGGTTAAGTAGTTATTGAGGGAAAATAACCCAAAATGTGATGGAACAATAGCTCTAACTCTTGTAACAATAATGCTAAATGTTGTAGCCGGTGTGTAAATATGACTTTCATTTTAATACGTATTAGTATGATCACCATTATCACCTGAAAATATTGTTGAGGGACACTTTGTGATACCTGTGGAACCATGGTGCTGGGCTGAAGAAACGTCTGACCGACGGGTCCGCCTCCACTTTGGCCTACGGACATGCTGGAAAAACCAACACTCTGACCAATCGGCACATGGGGAACACTTCCACTCTGGAGTGAAAGAAAAAATAAGCAATAAACAATGTGATTCAAACAATGATTTTGGTGGAATTTATAAACAAGAAGAGTGTAGACGTACGGATGCAGCAGGGGGCAAAGTGTGGGTGTATGATTCCCCTTGCTGAGAGTACGCCTGGCTCTGTGCACTCGTACAAGATTCACAGCTGACAGAACCCGATGCTCTCACCTTTGGAGTGAAAGACAATTTTAACAAAGAAGGAATGTAAAAATGCATTACCTCATAGCTAGGGCTGTCCTGAATAGTTCAAATTGATTCAAATTTCAAACACAGTTGCAGAAAAAGATAAGGCACATTTATACCAACCCCAATATTATTGGTTTTATTGGTATTTTAGTCCAAAAGCCAATATATACTAAACAAAGATAGATGTAATCATTTCCAAAATTCACCAACGACAGGGTGATCTTGCAGCAATCTAATAGTGCCGTGGATTACGTTTAAATAACCACAAGAACAAAAACAACAATGCTATTATACTCGTTTTTTTAACTTCTATGTTAAGGCTTCGCTTGGCACTCCAATAAGACGTGCTCAATTTCATACCAAAATCAACTGTAAAAAGGAGCAATTGCCAGCTTCAAGCATTTTAAAATTCCTGACAAAAATCCCCCCAGAAATTTGAAAAAGAGTGCCAGTAATTAAAACTAAAGATTTCTTTAAAGACGTTTTATTTTTTACATTAAAATCTTTATTCAGAAAACAGAAGCGTTGAATGTCAAGAAGATTACATCAGGTGCAGCCCTTCTCATGCAAGCACAACTGGCCATTGCATTTCATCTTAAAAGGGGCATACTCTACCTGGCAAACCAAGGGCTGTCCCACTGAAAATGTGTTGCTGCCTGACATGCTGGTCCACTTCAGGCAGCTCCTCTGACTCCTGCCCTCCTCCGGTCTGACCAGCTGCCCCTGGCCCCAGTGAGGACGGGCAGGATGGATGAGAAAAGCTGCAGGAGGTGACGGCGGCGTCTCTTTTTTCTTCTAGCTCCTGCTGCTGCTGGAGGAGCTGCTGCTGTCGGCGCTCTCGTGACTTTTTGATCAGATTAACTCGATCCCGGATGGATTTACCCACAACCTTGGCATCACTCTCATGGAAGAATCCTGACTTTACCTGAGAGTGAGAGAGCAGGAAGGAGAGAGAGAGGGAGGGGGGAGATATATATATATATATATATATATATATATATATATATATATATAAATGAATAGAGGTAGGCTGAGGGAATCTAGGTCAGAAGGAGGTGCCTTGGAATGGCTGATAAATGAGCTGAAGGATTTCCCTCAGCTGATCTTCCTGCAAGCTTTGAAGCATGAAAGCCTTTCCCCAGTCTACCTATCCCACGCTGGGCCCTCACATACACTCCGGTTCTACTAGTCAGGTCTGATTTGTCCATGTGTCTCACCATCTCTAGAGCCACTTCCTCAGCGCTGTCGTTCTCCAGGTCATAGCTGAACTCAATGGCCTCGTTGTCCTTGTGCTTCCCCTTTAGCTTCTTAGGATCTTCCACCCATATCCGGAGAGCCAGACAGTCCTGGGTGTCCGAGTCCTCCTCTGCCAGCTCCACCCGGACCCCCGTGTCCTCCCCAAAGAACGCATGGTTCAGGAGGTCTCGGACGGAGAGCCTGTCAAGGGAGAGACAACAAAAGTGGTGAAACAGGCGCGAGCATGTTTTATGATCCAAGTCTGGAATTCTTCATGATGAGACATGTCACGTTATCAAAGTCAAAGCCTGTTTACCTCTGGCTCTGATTCTGGCGTATGCAGCATTCAATGATCTCTTTGATCTCTGGGTCTTTCACTTTATCAAAGCTGGCTGGCTTTATACCCTATAGGAAAAGAAAAGTGCAATTACTTCACAGGAAATTATGGATTTCTAAACAGACAGTATTATTAGTATTAAACTATTTGCAGTTTTAGATTCAATTGTAGGATTTATTTCAGATCATTTCAACTCAAAATGTTGTGAAAAAAAATCACTATTCATAACTCGTAATTTTTTTGACAAAACAAAATATGACTTATGTATGTAATATGTACCTCAATAAAAGCTTTCAATGTCAAAAATGACATTTGTGACATTTAAATATACAACTAAACTATGAGCTTTGCACATGTCATTACTAAATACAGTATGTGCTGAGTTTGTATGAGAGTAAGACAGTCAAAGACACTCACACTTGTTACTTTGCGATAGATCTGAGCAGCATTCTGGCACTCAGAGTAGGGGTACTCTGAAGTGGCCATCTCCAGCATGCACATCCCAAAGGCGTAGACATCCACAGACTCATCGTAGTGCTCCTCGTACATCTCTGGAGCCATGAACTCCGGAGTTCCTGTTTAGAAAAGACAGTGGTTCCCAGTCAATTACGAGCTGGAAAGCTTAAAACTGTTTCACCTCTATCACTTTTTACAATCTGTATTTACTCTCACACAACTCAATGTCCACAGAGCACTAATGCCCCAAAGTCGACGAAAGAAGGAAGACTCTGATAACAATCTTCCTGCGATTGCCTTTGCTTCCTGAGTTAAACTTCATTGAGCTAAATGGTACTCATGGTGCATTGCTTAAGTTGGTTCCTACAGACAACATCTCATCAGTGCTCTCTGTTTACATTAAGTGCTGCCCACATGGATTTTAAAGTGACTCTGTCAAGAATAATCAATACCTCCAGGGCGATGATTGCCTCTGTAACATTGCTGAATGCAGGGAAAAATATGTTTAAAGGCCATGACTCAGTTTGCTTATACAACCACTACATTCCTTGCATTGTTCAGGGAAGTACGTGGTCCATTTCTGTAGCTTACCTATGACACTCTTAGCAAAGGAGGTTCGCATAAGAGTGGCCAGTCCCAGGTCTCCTATCTTGACCGAGCCTGTGGGGCCTGTTATGAAGATGTTGTCACACTTGAGGTCCCGGTGGACTATCGGAGGAGTCCTAGTGTGAAGGAAGTGAAGGCCCTTAAGGATTTGCCGACACCAGCTCCTCAGGACCTTGGGTTTCATCACCTTGAAGCGCTTCAGGTATCTGGTCAAAAAGAGACAAAGCAGGATTTTGTAGTCAAACTAAAAAACACTAGCTGCTACTTGGTGATGCCATGACATGTCTGAAAATGTAAAACGGTGTATTGGTATTATACCATTTTATGTCACAGTGAGCTGGAGCTGAAAATAGTTATAAGGAGGTTTGTCTTACGTTTTAAGTGTTCCTGAAGTCATGAGTTCGGTGACCAGTACGATGCACTTCTTGCCGCGGAGCGCTGACTCCCAGGAATCATAGAAGCGGACGATGTTGGGGTGCTGGAGCCCCTTCAGCATCTCCGCCTCCTCCTTGAAGCGCTGCTGCTCCGCCTTTGTCAGCTTGCGGTCCTGAAGTGAGAGGAAAACACAGAGTTATACGGCATGAACGTTAACTTTCCAAGAGCTTTAGAAATACTGTCTCTTATACATGGGCTGTTGATTCCATCATTGCAAAAACTGCTTAATTTGGTTCCATAAGGTTCCACAAGGCTCCCTGACTACACACCCATGACTGTGAACTAACACCTGCTACCACTAGATGGTGCTAGCAATGAAGGGTTGCAGCCGTGCTGAGACAACACCCAAATCTTGGCTTAATAAAACACATTTCTACTGCATCTGCCACACATCCCCAGTATGGCGGACCAGAATGCAGACAGAAAACCCATTCTCTTACATAATTAGCATCCCACAGGAAAAAGGAACAGACACAGCCATGGACTTGTCCATCTCTTAAAAACACTGGTGCATTGGTTATTTATAAGATCTAAGACTCATACTGTACATGTTATGCACTAAGGGGTGTTCTGTTCTGCAGTATAAAGCACACAGATATTGTTCTAAACTGTATTAAAGTAAACAGGTATTATCTTGAACTGTATTGAAGTAAACATGTATTATTTGGGACTGTTTTGAAGTAATCCTATATATATAAACCTTCTTACCTACACTCCATAAGGCAGATATCGCCAACACACACACATACACCCCCTGTCTCCAGCACACACACATAAACTCCTTAACCCAGATATCAGCAACACACACACATACGCCTCCGCTTATCAGCATGCACACACACACATACACTTTCCCTCACTAACACACACACATGTTATTTTTTAAGGTTCTTTCTGGGGCCAATAATCCCAAGCACCAATATATCTGTGTACAATGTTGATTGTTTTAAAAGAATAATTTGTGTGAAACCTTCCCTGGGAAATTAAAGGAGTTGGGTCCGGTGGAAGATAAGAAGTGGCTCTCCAACTCAAATATATCCATACTGTTGTGTAGTCATGCAAAATGCCCCCTGTTTCTGACTGGCTGGTCCCGATACCTGTATCGCACAGCACTGAACTGGGAGTCCGGAGTACTCTGTAAACTTGTATTGGTGTTTTTTACCATTAAAATCAGATTATTGTTATAACTTTTATGCCGGTGTGTTGAACTCCCTCTTTTATCAATCTGACCAGGCTCATCTAAACGGACGGCGCGGAGCAGAGGTGGGCTTTAAGCCACCACTACTGTGTCTGCCCCAACAGCAATACAAAACAGGTCTTTTTTTGGGTTATCTCCACGTATTACTTGTTTTCTGAAAACTGTGTTATTCAGTTTTCTTCACCCTGTGGGGCTCTTCCTAATACCTGCTTTTTTCAGATAAAAATACACATATCATTCATTAAGCTCTATATATAATATCAAGTCAACAGGAAATTGTTCTTATGAATAAGCATGTAGTGTGCTGATGATACAATATTGAAGAATCAAGCACAAGTGCAAAATCAAAAAAATGTACAGTGGAGAAAAGTGGCCCATTAAATCAGTGTGTATTTTAAGACTTGCCACAAGCATCTGTTCTAGTCTGCTTTTTTAAACGTGTGCAAACAACAAAGCACTTCAGATCTATGGTCTTTATTGTTGACCTTTTGAACTGTGAGGAAATGTGTTCCCCTCGATTGTGTGGAAGAGTTTGAATTCAAGAAAAGAGTACAGTTCAATGCCATGTGTTTACATTTATAAATCAGCTACCTTCAATTAGAAAAGGAAATAAAGGAAATAAAAATAAAGACTGTGTCTGACTCGATAATGGCCAGAGGGTCGGATGGCAGCCATTGTTATGTCACAAACAGACCCACCTATAAATAGAAATCATCCTAACATTGCACACTGGCTTTCCACTGATCGATTCTATTGATATTGAGCTTTTTGCTGTACACACATCTCCCCAAAGAGAGGCAGTGTACTGCAGAGGCTTGGCCACAAATAAACAGAGTTCCATGGAATGCAGTTTATCTGTTGCTACATCTATCTCAACGTATTATGTATTATATTATATATTATGTGTCTAGCATACACTGGTTTATTGTTCCTCTGCTTCTCTTCCCCGGTGTCTGTGTTTTATCTTCTCAGAAATATTTTCCTCTCTGTCTCTATACTGGTAACAAGTGTCCTTTTTTGGAAGTAATCTCCCTCCCCTCTCAACAGGGAGGTAGCATCAACAAAAAGGCTGCTCCTCATTGTACTGTTAAGGCTAATAATAAGTTACCCAGGCTATGTCGCTTCTCTCACTCCTTCAACACTAACTACCTATGTGCATGTTTATTCATCTGTTGATAACCTGACTGTGTGCCGTAGAGATGACACTTCCTGTTTCAAATTTCGATCATCATTAAAACCTTTCGAAAAAGAATCTCATGATAACTAAATCCAGCATCAATGGAAGTGAGCAATACACTCTCAGAAACAACAGCATGAATATTGGGTTGTTTGTTTGTATGGAAGAAAATATGACTAAACTTAATGAAAGCACTCAGAATATAAAGTTTGGATTGATAGTACCCAGCAAATGTTAACAACAGTACCGTGATCATTCTAGTCACTATAATTATGATAGTAAATATTTATACGGTTTTATCTCTAGTTTGCAAATGTGTCTGATCATGCTCAATGCTGTCTGTCTCTATGGTATGTTGTTTACCCGTATCTACATGTCTTGTTTTTTTGTATATCGTCAGGGACTACTGCCTGTGTAAGGGTGTTCCTGTCCTCCGTCTCGCCCCTCAGTCAGAGCAGCCGTCTGCCTCAGAGTCTGACAGAGTGCTGGTCTGTGTCCCTGCCTGCTGCATCCTCAGCATCTATCGTGTCTCCCCGAGTGTGGAGTCAGACAGCCCTTGGGTTGGTAAAAGGTCACAAAGAGTTCAGTTGTTCAGATTGTGTCTAGACAGACTCACACAAACTAACTTCCCATTCAGCAAACTCTCACACATGCACACACACATACAAAAAGAGGCGCAACAACAAAAAAAGTCCTCACTCCAATTGCAAGTCTGCTAAAACACCCACACACAACTACTGCTGCTGCTAGGAGGCCTAATCATTTACTCAACTTTTTTTCAACAGCAACTCACAAAAACAGATCTGACAAACAAATTGGCATTTATTTTCTTAACTTGAGATGAATGGAAATGGTGAAGCAACAGAAAGACAAATAGGCATAGATCCTTCTTCTCCTGAATCAGCATGGTCAGCAACCTTATGAGGTAAACACCAGGATGCACAGCTACCCAAACTGATACTGACTCAGATCACTGGATAAGATATGAGGGAGATCCATTCAATTACATTTATGTTTATATACAGTATATACTTCCTGTTTAGCCACCCCTAATGCGTATGTCTGAGGGGTCGATTGCTGATTGTAAAATGAATAATTACACCAGCCGCAACATCAAATTGTTAAAGGGTCGTTAAGTTTAGGGGCCAATGGGGGCCACTTGCCCACTTCCTACAGTTTCCTTTCAGCGACTTCGCCTAGACACGATCACCCAAATCGGTGTCAAATAGGGCAGAGGGGACAAAGTGTGGGGGGCCAATGGCCACTTTGCCCCCCCCCCCTTTCTCTGGCTATGCCATCTTTACACTGGACCTTAAATTTGATCTATACACATCTGTCAAGTTTTGTGACAGCATGATACACAGTAAAGCTATTGTGGTCACACACGGTAAAATAAATACCTATGTTGCTGGGCAGCTGACAAATATGATGCAACGCAAGAATGAGTCAGAGCTATGTTGATTCAGCAGTTTTTTTTAACTGTAGCAGGTGGTTTGTTGTGTCAGACTGCACTTTAGTGATACGTTCTTTCTTAACTTGCCACTAGCCACAGTTAGTAGATAAACTACCATGATCCCTTCACCACCTTTGAGACAGCCTCACAAATATAGAACCTTAGACAGTTCAACAAATGCAGTACTTCCCTGCAAGTTATCATCACACAATATGTGTCGGGTTATTCTGTGATTTATCCACACCTGCATGTCAGTTGGTCATGTGATACTGCTGTCACAAGGCGCCTCCTTTACAGGGACCTGAGCACTGTAACTTGTAAGACCTGTTTGTGCACAATGTGATTTTTATGGATCAGACATCTACCAATGCAAAAGGTCAAGCTGCAGGTTAAGTAGCTTCATAAAGCACCAGGGAAATGGACAGGATATGGCTTACAGGGCACATGTGATGGGTGGTTAAGAAGCTGGGGTCACGAATGCCAAAGCATGTGAGCCCTAAAACATCTATTTTGGCAAACACAGCATGAGTGTCAGATATCATACCGACTGAAGATGAACTGGCTTCCCTGGTTACATTCTGACCTCTTGCCTTTGATCAGTATAGTGTTATCAACAGCTCCCGGAAACGTAAGTTCTAATATTACACTAGATAGTAAACTAGAATGCTTTTCAGCCATAAACCTTGAACAATTAAATTCAATGATTCTCTCTTCTAAACCATCAACGTGTATGTTAGACCCAATTCCAACTAAGCTGTTGAAGGAAGTTTTTCCATGAATTAGCACTTATTTATTAAATATTATGAATATGTCTTTATTATCAGGCTATGTTCCACAATCATTCAAAGTAGCAGTGATAAAACCGCTTCTTAAAAAGCACAACCTCGATCCAGAGGTTTTAGCCAATTATAGACCTATTTCTAATCTTCCGTTCCTCTCAAAAATTCTTGAGAAAGCAGTCGCAAAACAGCTGTGTGATTACTTAAAAAACAATGATTTATTTGAAGATTTTCAGTCTGGCTTTAGAACACATCATAGCACAGAGACAGCTCTGGGTAAAGTCACAAATGACATTCTAATAGCCTCTGACAAGGGACGTGTCTCTATTCTTGTTTTGCTCGATCTCAGTGCTGCATTTGATACTATCGACCATGATATCTTATTGCAAAGACTAGAGCACTTAGTTGGCATACAGGGAACTGCTTTAGACTGGTTTAGGTCCTCTGAACGCTCTCAGTTTGTACGTGTCAATGATGAATCTTCCACGCAAACCAAAGTTAGCCA